CCGTCACCGAGCGCAATCCTAGACGTATCCCTATCCTATATACCCAATTTTCGAACCCACGGAGTCTTAACAGCTCCAGGGGACCTGGGAACCGAACAGAACCCACGGAGATTCAGCCACTCCGTGAGGAAAGAATTGCCGAACCCGCGGAGCCTAAACCACTCTGGGGTCAAAGAACCGAGTTTGTCAGAGTCCTCCAATGAGGATTCAAACGGAGCTGCGCCTGGAAAGCTGTCCAGCCTACACCGCGACCACCTTGGGTGTAAGTAAATAATCTTTTCAATCAACCATTACGCCTCCGTAACTGATTCTAGCTCGCGCGTACCTTACCGCCCCGCGGTTTTCTCCGGCCCCGCATGCCTGGGCTGCTGGCCACAGCCCGCGTGCGCAAAGACGGGTCCGCATATCGCTCCCGGCTCGCACATGGCTACATGGATGGGATCGGGAGGCGGCCCACACACTATCCACACTGCATAATACTCCTTTCTGTAGCTACGTTGTGGGAATTCGGGAAGTACTCTATTGTAATTAAATTCCAACCTAGCTGATTTAATAAAAGACATGGAACTGAAGACTACATCTACACAAGTTCTGACAACAGCTCATATATATTCAGATCAATTTTGCCTGGCTATCAAGGAACAGGTTTAAAGATTTTTAAAATTAATCATAAATCCAGAACAAAGTTTGAAAAATATTTTTTCTTTTCCTGCACCCACCAGGAACACTGTTCTTAAAATGTGCATGAGGCCCAAAAAGTAACACACACCATGGTTCTGTACATTATTTTCTCCATCAAAATTCATTCAACAGGTTGTTTGCCAATGGCAACATAAGAAACTTTAAAAAAAGAAATGCTTAGTCTATTACAGAGGCGGGCAATTATTTCGGGCAGAGGACCACTTACCCAGTTTTGGCAAGCTGTCAAGAGCCGCATGGGTAGCCCCACCCCCTGGTCACCATCTTGGGACCAATATCACAATGTCTTGGGACTAATGTCTCAGGGCCAGCACCAGTGGGACCAAGAGCGGGGCGCAGGCCGGCAAGGGTCTGTGGAGCTGGGCTAGGCTGCACCAGTAGGGAGAGGCAGGAGCTGGCCTGGCTCCATAGAGCCCCTGCCATCTAGGACCCTGTATTCCTGCCACCCTGCTCTAGACCCCGCCAGCACTCGTCCCAGGACACTGGTGTGGGCCCCGTGCACCCACTCACTCCCAGTGCTCCCCAGCCCCGTGGTTCTGAGCAGGCACAGGCAGCCCCATGCAGGCTGCAAGCAGCTGCAGGGCGCAACGGCGCTGCAGGGCGGGGGCCCAGCCACAGGGTGGGCGAGGGGCTGCTTCCCCCCTTCCCTCCCCCGCACTCAGCACCAGCTTGTAAGCTGCCTCCGCAGCCAGCCTGGGCCCCGCACTGCCTCTGGGCTCACCCGTCAGGGCTGTGCCACAGCAGCAGTAGCTGCAGGCCCCCCAACTTCCTGCGCCAGGCAGTGTTTGCCACCACGAGCCCTGGGCTGCCCAGCACACGAGCTCCAGGCGGGCAGCAGCAAACACTGCCCAGCATGGCAAGCGGGGAGCGCTGCAGCTGCTGCCACACACAGCCCCGATGGGCAAGCCTGGAGCCAGCACGGGGGCCAGGCTGGCAGCAGGAGTGGGTTGTAAGCTGGTGCTGAATGTGGCAGGGAAAAGCAGCCCCTCCTCTGCCCCATGGCCAGCACCCCACGCCCCAGCCACTCTCAGTCTGCCTGGGGTTGCCTGTACCTGCTAAGGACAGCTGCAAGCAGCTGCAGCAGGGAGCATGGGCCACAGGGGAGGGGGTCGCTTTTTCCTGCACTCCCCTGCCCTCTTGCCACCCTTACCTGAGGTTCCCATGCTGGGGCAGCCATGTGGTCCCAGGCCAGAAGCCCCAGGCAGGCCCTGCTGCTGGGAACCCACCAGGCTACCCCTGGGTCCTACTGCCCCGGTTTCTGTCATTTCTGACAGGAACCAAGAACAGATCAATATTAATTTTCTAAATTTTTTAGATGCCCTGTGTGCCCACCCCTGGTCTATTACCATTGCTGTCTGCTACACAATTAAAAATTGCAGATTTTTAATTTTTTTTTTAATTTTCCTTTTGTGATGGTATTTAAATACCATTGTGAAAGCCACACACTTATTTGTATTGGGTGCAGCTGCTCAATTTTGAAATTTCTTTTCCACCTCTATCCCAACTGCATCAATTTACCTCTAAACAAGTAAATATCCTTGTTCATAAGTAATACTGTACATATGGTAAGTAGTCTCACTTCTTTTGAAGGAGAATTCTCTAAAAAAGCAGGTATTATTCAATGTCAGTGAGAGAATCATCCATGTATTAGAGTGATTACCCCATATATTTCTATTTTCTTCCATCTACGTTGTACACTGTGGGTGTGTCCATACGAACACGCACGTGCCTCTTACAGCATCTCAAACCCCTTTGAGACACTGCAAGAGGCACGTGAGGGAACAAAAAAAAAATGTTCCCCGCACTGCAAATTTGCAGCATGGGGGCAAAATTAGACCCCTAGTCAAACAATACCCTGGGGGAAAAAAGCAGGGCAGGGCACAATCCTGGACCATGCCCTGAGGCAACTAGAGGCTTGGTCTTCCACAGAGACACTCTGGTAGCCAACCAGAGCATCTCTGTGGTTGGCCCTTTCCCCACTGCTGAAACACGCTGCCTGCCTGTGTGGGGCCGGCAGCAGTGCAGGCTGCAGGGGCCTGGACCTGGCTTCATGCCAGGTAAGTAGGAGGTTGGGGGGGCTGGAGGAGGGGGTTAGGGGACCATGGGGGAGGCCCCACCTGGCCCCAGCCCCTATTCATTCCCCCCGTCCCTCCATTCATTCCCTTCTATCCTCTATTTGTTCCCCCGCCCCCCCACACTCACAGGCAGTAGCAGCAGCCTCCAAGGCTAGAGATGAGCAGGGGAACGAGCAGGAGACTGAAGACAGCAGGGGAACATCTCCAGCTCATCTCCAGGGCCTTTTCTCTAGCCCCCTGCTCATTCTCCTGCTTATCTCCAGCCTCTGGAGGCTGGAGATGAGCAGGGGAACAAGCAGGGGGCTAGAGAAAAGGCCCTGGAGATGAGCTGGAGACTTCCACTGCCGTCTTCAGGCTCCCGCTTGTTCTCCTGCTCATCTCCAGCCTCCAGAGGCTGGAGATAAGCAGGAGAATGAGCAGGGGGCTAGAGACCAGCAGTGGGGGCTTGGAAGGAGCTGTAGCCCATGGGGGGGCTGGGACCCTGCACCATCTGCAGGCAGGGTAGTCCATGTGCTGTGTGGGGGGCTCTGCCCCATAGGACAGGGGACCCACCCCTCCTAAGCAGCCCCATACCCAGTCCCCCCACACCTACCCACACACTGACCCACATCCTGCTACCCCCCTATGCCTGGCAAACCCCACATCCCCTCATCACACGCCCACCATGTGATAAGGAAACCAAAAGCAAATATTAAAACATATAGATATTTAGGATTTATTTTATTCTGATGCTAGAGACACTGATAGGCTCTAAGTTGCTTTAACATTGTAAATATAGCAATAAAACATTGCCCATATGATCAATCCCCCCCTCTCTCTTCTGTTCTAATTGTGTAAGAATGTAGATTTTGGGGGGTTTTAAGTGAATCTGGGATGCTGCTTCAGCAGTCTATCTGACACAAGGAGCAAGTGTCCCCAGATACCAAGTGGCTGGGCCTCAGAAGCTCCTGAGGGTAAGTAGCCCTGAGCTGCAGGCCAGGGTTTTTATACTGCTGAGGCCAGCACAGGTGCTGGCCCCAGGCTCTAGCTCCCCCTGGCTGAAGATCTGGGAGGAGCCAGGCAGGGTTATTTTACTCCAAGTCGCACAATTTGCTCCACAACGAAGTGCATGTCCAGGCATGCACGCTGAGGCAAAAAGCCCTGGCTCAAATTTGCACCACTTCTATTTGAGCTACTGTAAGCGCACGTGCTTGCATGTGTGGATGCACCCTGTGGGTACATCTACATAAGATGCTTAATGCGAATTGGATTGATTCTATTGTGCCTTAGCACGGCTGGCAAACACCATGTTAATGTGCAGCAACTTTAGTCCAATGCACATTAAGCATCACACAAAAATCGTTCATCTGCGGTAATGCGTAGTAGCGTCAATTATGGAGCAAAAGTTAGTGTCTGTTATTACAGGTACTAAACTTAATGTGCTGTAATTACAGCACATTAATGAACATGTAGACAGACATTGTGTGTCTGTATGTACAAAAACAGCTTACCTGCTCGGACCATTTCACAGCTTTTTCTGTTAGATATCTATATACAACTGGTCTTCCCACTAAATAGGAAAGCATATAACAGAAAGAGGCTCCAAGTCCAGAACACTGCAAATAAAAAGAGAGTAAATGGATTAATTTGTATAACTGTCTCATATATCCACCAATTATTCTAGCAGTATAGAACCTGGATGCACTGATGCAGTTCTACAGCATTCGTTTTTGGTTATCGGAGTTAGCTACTCCTAAATATATACAGCAGTAATTGTTAGCGTGTATTATTTTATGTAAGAAAAAGGAAAATGGCTCATCTATTCTTAATTTTGTTTATCCATGTTGGCATTCAAGATAACATGGCAAGATTCCTTTGTTTAAAAATGCAAATACAAATACTTGCCACTAATCAGTTTAGCAAGGTTTAATATTAACCTTGCAAATAGGGAATAAACAACTGCTGTTAAAAGGTCTAAATTAGGTTCAGACTTCACAAATGCAAGCAAACTGAGAAAGTATGGATTGGATGAATGGACTGTGAGGTGGATAGAAAACTAGCTGGATCGTTGGGTTCAACGGGTAGTGATCAATGGCTTGAGATCTAGTTGGCAGCCAGTATCAAGGAGTGCCCCAGGGGTCTGTCCTGGGGCCAGTTTTATTCAGTATCTTCACTAACAATCTGGAAGAGCAAGTCTGCAGATGAAGGGGGAGGGGGGGGGGGGAGTCAAATAGATACACTAGAAGGCAGGACTAGGATTCAGAATGATCTAGACGAATTGGAGGATTGGACCAAAAGAAATCTCATGAGGTTCAGCAAAGACAAGTACAAGGAAGGAACAATCCCATGAACTGCTACAGGTTTGGGATCAACTGGCTAAGCAACAGCTCTGCAGAAAAGGACCACATCTGCAGTACGGTGTCCAGTTTTGGGCTCCCCTCTATAGAAAGAATGTGGACAAGTTGGAGAGAGTCCAGCAGAGGGCAACAAAAATAAAATATATTTATGATATAAAACCGAGATCGAGTGCTTAATATACATAAATATACATTTTCTCTGCTTATCAAGTCTTAGCGTGACACTTGTTACTACATGTTATCTGCCAATGTCCATTGAGATCAGCCTGACCTGCGCTGGCAGCACAAGTTGCAGACCAGGGCAGGGGGCTGCTCTGGAGCCGCTGGGAACTTGGGATGGGGGCAGCTTGCTCCAGAGCCAGGGCAGTAGCCTGCATGCTCCAGGCAGGGGCACACAGGCAGGGGATCATAGCTCTGCCCCTACTCCAAACTAGGCTGTCACCCCTGCAAGGAGCTGGGGCAGAGCCACAATCCCCTGCCTGCACGCCCCTGCCCGGAACATGCAGGCTACTGCCCTGGCTCTGGAGCAAGCTGCCCCTATCCCAAGTTCCCAGCGGCTCCAGAGAAGCCCCCTACCCTGCTCTGGCGCACAGGCTGCCAGCCCGGCTCAGGCTAGTCTCCATGGCAACCCCAGCCTGAGCTTTCCTGCAAAGCTGGGGTCTCCATGGAGACTGGCCCCAGCCATGAGGGCAGGGCTGCTAGGAAATGGAGGCCAGCTGGATTGGCCATTTTGACCACCCTTGTTTTATGCCTAACTTTAGCTTGAAAAAAAAGAGATGGGGGACTGAGATCAACTGTCACAGGTTCCACGATTAACCAGTCAATCACGATCTGCTGGTTGCTGACTATTGAGCTAGACTGTTTTCAGTGGTGATAAAACAAGGAGCAATGGTCCCAAGTTGCAACAAGGGAGATTCAGATTGGATATTAGGAAAAACCTCTCTCACTAGGAGGGTGGTGAAGCACTGGAATGGGTTACCTAGGGAGGTGGTGGAATCTCCATCCTTGGAGGTTTTTAAGGCCCAGTTAGACAAAGCTTTGGCTGGGATCATCTAGTTAGGAATGGTCCTGCTTTGAGCAGGGTGTTGGACTAGATCCTGAGGTCCATTCCAACCATAATTTTCTATGATTCTATGAAATAGGAAAACCTCAAGAGTCCTCTGTATCTATGCAACTATCTCTGGATTTCATCCCCAATTTGGGGAGGGGGAAGAGAGGAGTTATTTCTTCTACATAAATACTTGAAGCTCATCATGACAGTTAGCCTTTCTTTCTATCCTTTGGAGCCTGACGGTCAGCTTAAAAATATAAAATCCAGTAAAAAAAAGGTGGCACAGCAGTGCCAACTGAAATGAAAGGGACCTGTAGAATAATTCCATAATTCCCCTCATAGCAAAAAATGAAGTTCCAAGTCATTTAATGTGAATTTGATAATGATCTTTGTGGTCAAAACTGTTGGGCTGGGTCAACATCCACAACAGAAACAGAATGTGGTTAACTACTCGATACTCAACAACTCCCTTTAAAATTTTCAGCCAGACTCTCTCATTGGTAGCCCCACAGAAGTCAATGATAAAATTTCCACTCAGAATATACCAGCATCTAACACTGAATTATACAACTTGCAGGCAACTGCATTCTCAGGGACTATCACAGACACTTGCTCCTACTCCACAAGGCAACCAAATGGCAACTTGTTTGAAAGGTTGAGGGGAAAAGAACAAGTACTCTCAAAAAAATTATCCATACTTACCAAACAGACAAGAAATAAGGCTAATGGGAATGGATAAAGAAACCCTGAGAGGATACTGAGAAATATAGACCCAGGAATAGCAAATGTTTGCAAGCTGGATGTTTCTTAGTTAAGGATAAAAGCTCCACATTACTGAGAAAGCTACCAACCTCTTAATTAAAAAAAAAAAAAAAAAAAAATCAATAACAAAAGTTCATAAAGTCAATACTAGAAATTTACAAAAGTAGCTTACAAGATTTAATGCAGGTAGCTTGGGAGCCTGTGTTCAGACTTTAGCTAAGGAAATTTGCACCAAGTTAAACTAAGTTAGATTTCTACAAATCCACAATTCACATTTAAAAGCTAAAATGAGTGTTTTCTTCTCCCACACCCCAACCACATGTGCTTTAGTGTTCATCTAAAGATGATGGCTAATGGAACATATCTGATACCATGAGAGCTGGAATAATCAACCTTCACCTTTAGGATAAAGATACCACTCCAGCACCAAATCTCTTATTTTTAAGGCCAGATGGAAACATTATGATAATGTAGCTTGGGGGATCATCTTATATTCAGGGTCCCATCTTATGTTCAAGTAAATATGGTAATTCTGAAACTTCCAAATGAAACAAGGCTTTTGAAATGACCCTTCTTGCGAGAGTCTATTATAGATGGGTGTAATGGGGTGCACCTCTACGAAAGGCTACAGCACCCCCTGGTGGTCACATTATACCCATCTTCCTATTCCAGCTCCCTAATTTGTCCTCGCCATGCCTTGATGTTTAAGTTAATGTATATTTTAGGAAGCTATCTCCAGAGAACCCAAGTTTAGCCTTTGATGCCTTGCTCTACCAAAGTAATCACCAGGTTGCCAGTCTACCCAGTCCTCATACCTTAGCTTGAGCAGGGCTTCTTCTTTCCCTCTGACTTCTCACATTGGGTCCCTTTTGGGCTTCAGTCTCTCTCCCCAAGCATTAGCCTTTCACAGTCCACCAGGTCTTTGCAGATCTCTACCTAGACTTTAGCCCTTCATAATGTGAAGTGCCTCCCAAGCACCCCACCTGCCCAGGCTCTAACTTTCCTGGCCTTAGCCCATCTCCTGGCCTTGTCTAGGCTTTGACCCCTTCCAGACTTCACCTCTCTCTCCCCAGCTTTAGCCCGTAGCAGCTCACCAGGTCCTGGACGCTCTTAGGGCTCTATCTGGGCTTTAGCCCCACATGACACAGAGTGCTTCCCACATACCCACCCATGGCCTCTTCCCTTTTAAGCCACCCCAAACCTCACAGTTTAACACAAACCCAAACAGAAACAAAAACAAAATATATAACTTAGCTCTAGTATGCTAGTCCTGCAGAACTCCCTCTGTTGTGAGGCTCTGGGCCAGTCTGATCTCTTACTCCTCTGCCTGGGCTTCTGGGGCCCTTGACTTCTTCCCTTCCAGCCACCTGATCTGGTTCTACAGAAAATGAGGTGCTGCCAACTATCCAAATCAGCAATAAGGTCTCTCAATCTCTCAAATTCCCCCAGCCTGCTTTCTGTAACGCTGCTCTTTCTTCCTTCCAATAGCAGGGCTAAGGGTCCCCTGCTAGAATGGGTAAAGGTAGATCTGGATGAAGCAGTCATGTACAATGACATCTAGTACCAATTTACTGAGGATAATCATAGCCCCAAACCCAGAGGAAGGGGCAAACTAACTTCTGAAGTTACCAAAAGTTCTAGGTTGGTTCATGACACTTCTATCAAATGCTCTGAAAGAGTTCCAGGTTTGTAGCCAAGTCTCCTTCTGAAATATCAGGACTTCTTTTGTTGAAAGCACACTTGTCATCAAGCCTGGAATCAGGAAGAAGCTCTTGCTTTATAGGGGCCAATAGTTGCATGACTTAAAACAAAACTAGGATGTGGATTGTTAGATAAAGCACTCTACTCCCTTAAGTATCTCAATGAGCTTCTGAGGACTTCTCTGCCTTTGAAGTGCAGGTCTGCTCTGTGCATCAACTAAGTGTAAGTATCTGAAAATAAGGAGACCCATGTCAGTGCCAGCAAGGGTCACTGATGTAGAATCTGGTGTCTGATGCATCCATATATAAGGTAGTTCTTGTGATCATTTGGGCCCTCTTAATGATCTCTAACTGCCTTCCTATACTCCTGTGGGACCACACTCCAACATGCAAAAAAGCTGTTTTGAAAGTGGGGATACAGAGCTGTATTGAAGTGAAAGAATAGGCCTTGGTCCCCAACCTGTCCAGTTTCTTAGAGGCTCTCTTTTTAAGGTGCTCTTAATGGACCTGGAAATTTTACTGACAACGAATGGCCCTGAAACAACTGATGCCCTTCCGAAACAATTAGTACCTCCTTTCAATCCTCTTAATGAGGGAGAAATAACAGATGGGGTTTGTCAAGAGTCTCTTTACTGGCTCAAGTATGTCCCCACTGATAGGAAGCACAATCCTGGCTATGACTAAAGAAGTTATGCTGTCAAAGAGCTTATGGGAATTCTTGCCAAGTCTTTAGGGTATTTGCAGAATGCCAGAAGGAAAATGCACAGCGTTGATGGACAATACTATTCAAAGGCATAAAACTTGCAATATTGCATTGTATGCAAAGCAAGAATGGACTACACACTGACAAATTTAAAGGAGGAAGAAAAGAAACAGAGGGCAGGAATAGCACTGATGAATGCAGCAATGTGGTAATGAATAAAATAAAAGGTTAGAAGTTTAGTCACTACAGAGTCCTCTCTCATTCTCAATGCAAGCTTTCCACTGACTCTAGGAAAACACCTACCAAATTATTATGGTAGGTATGTAGTTCTGAATTTATACTGCAGCCCAGACCATAAACATGGAATTCAGCTATTTTCTCTTAATGGGTCTGGCAGTTTCAGACTAGCTGAACTCCTTTCAGAGCCCACAAATGCTATGAATTTCAAAAGAACTGTTATTTGCTAAAGAAATAATTACTGCCTTATCAGGGCCAAAGACTCCATCTACAACAAGTATTCCAAAATAAAATAAGTTCTTCTCTAAAAATCATTTAAAAAAAATCAAATTTCCTAATATTTACCTTAAAATGTTCCTCTAAAGGAAGTTTGCTCAGTTTATAAGTAGAAAGAGATTGTGCAACAGCATGCCCACAAACACACACACACACAAAACTGTTAGGCTGGTATTTAAAAGTCAAGTTCTTTTTGGTTTGCATATAGTCAGTAATTAAATTCCAACCGCAAATATTTTAAGTGACTTGCTGAAAGAGAATCTAGCTCTGACATTATTAAAATTAACAGTACTGTGCCGTCAGGAAAAAAAAGTTGACTAAATACACAAAAGAAGTGTTCTTTCAGTAAAAAACTGCAATATTTATATTCACTTTTTAATCATATCTGCATATTAATACAGGTTTCTGGGCAATGTCAATATTTTTAGGAAAGCAAAGATGTAATTTTCTGCAGGATGAGGTAACAGATTATTGGCTTTGTGACTAAGAGGTGAACATGGTCTAAAGGGCAAGTTTAAGTAGTATGTTTTACTTTTTTTCATTCATTAGCAAGAGAACTTTAAAAAATGGTTAAATATTAGAACTGTACAAGTGCCATTCTCAAGTTATCTTAAGTGGGACCAATTAGACTATGATCAAGTCAAACAGTAATGATTAAATGAACAAAGAGTACAACTGCTTTGCAAGCACATTTCAAGGGTTAGAGATTAACGTCACTGCATGCATGTAAACTGAGCCAAATCTGTAACTAAAGTGAAACACACAGCTATTAGAAAAGCAGATGTCATGACCTTTTTAAGTAAATAGCTGATTTCACAGACATTAGGGCTGGAAGAGACCTTGTAAGATTATTGGGTCCAGCCTCCTGCTCAAGGGGCAGGAAGTCAGCTAGGGTCAAAGGATCCCAGCAAGATGGGCATCCAAATGTTTCTTGAAAGTATCTGGAGTAGGAGCTTGCAGCACCTCTGGGGGAAGTCTATTCCAGGCCTTGGTGGCTTGGACAAAGAAGAAGTTTTTCCTTATGTCCAGCCTAAAACGGTCTTGCAGGAGTTTGTGACCATTGGTCCTCATCTTCCCTTGGGGTGCTCTGGTGAACAAGTGCTCCCTCAGATCCTGATGTACACCCCTTATGTACTTATAGGCTGCCACCAAGTGACCCCTGAGCCTACGCTTCTCCAGGCTAAAGAGTTTTATGCTAAAGTAGGCCCATGACAGTAGTCTAATACTTGCTAGTATAAAAGATGATGGTATAGGAGGTCTGCTATACACTTTAACACAAGTTTTCAGTAACTCAGAACAGAGCTATTGAATGTTCTTTTCAGAATTATCTTACTTCTGATGCTGCTTCAGAAAAGTATGCTCACCAATAATTTTCTAAAGAGATACTGTACAAAAATGAAATTGCAAATGTAAGAAGTAGAGGTAAAATTAAAACTACAATTCTACTACCACCACCAACTAATATATTGCAAAACTAAACAACACAAAATACAGGAAAACTACAGCTTCAGATAACAAGTAGATACAATTTTAACTCCACTTAAGTTCTCTCTTTCATATATGATAACATCTTTCTATAAATTACTTAATTTACTTAAAAGTAGACATCATAGAAATTAAAGCCTGAAAATCTTTCCCTGGGAATTTCTAGGCCCCATATACAAATATTATGCAAAGTTTAAATTCTCCAGTTCTTCTTACAATAGTTCTAACATACTTGCAGCTGAATATTTCAGGAATAAAGGACGGTACTTAATTTAAATTTCTCTCTTAAGATCTCCTTAAAAATCCAAAAAAAAGTACTTAAAATGCTCAGAGCAAGTAATTCATTTGCAGCTACTTGCAAAAATGTTCTAGAAAAACAGATAATTTTAAGTGGCTAATATAAGATACAAAGAATCTCTTTCAATGAAGTCATTGTCAGGACAGTAAACATAAAATGAAGCCTTCCAACTGCATTAGTACTACACATGTGCAAAATGCATTTTCCTTCTGACAGTCTCAATAATTCTGACAGTCAGAAAACACACTGAAATTTAGATGAAAAAACTGCCATTTTTTCAGGTCAATGACCCTGTGCATGTCAATATGTGGGCCAAAGACATCCAAACACTTGCATTTTAACCTTCATGCTTTAAGCACCAAACATATCTTCACAAACCTCTTAAATCTTTCTGAGGAACATCCCATTAACTCACAATTTTTCACATCAGCAAGAAAAGGATACAAAACGTATGTGGCAAAATAAGCCACTAATACTTGGACATAAAAGGTGTCCTTGTATTTTGATAGGACTTTTCCTAAGGCCTTTGCATCATCCATGTCTCTGGGAACTTTTATACATTCTCTTTCTTCTCTAAAGAAAAACAGAAATCCAAGAATTAAGATGAGTAATCAAGAAATGCAATAACAAAGCCTATTTGCTACAACACAAAGCAATACTAAATCAATGAACTTCTCTTAGCAAAACAATGTAATTGCTGTTGAGAAAACCTTCCCAGATACAGGAGACATCTATAATGCTTTAGAGCTACAAAACATGTGTTGGCAATTCTATTTAACATCCAGAAGGCAGGCAGAAGTGCCACAATCAACAGAAACCATAACTGTTCAGACAAAAATTTTATGACAGAACTGTAGATAATATTGGGATGGGGGGATGGAGCAGAGGCAGAAGGAGGTAGAGTATGGTGTATTATATTCTAAATGTGATTTGGGAGGGGGTGGCGGGTTTCCTTATGAATGTTGACTTTTTGCCTTATTGTTTGTTTGGTTTGTTTGTGGTGTTGGTTTAGTTTTGGGGGGTTTTTTGGGGGGGTGGGAGGGCAGTAGACCCAGTGTAAAGTACAATTTTTATACCAGTAGATATATTTTAATTAGGTGTGCAGTTTTTAGTGTTGGCACTGGAGTGATACAAAATCATCCCAACCTCCTTGTGGACAGTTATAGATTCTTTCCCTCTGATAAGAGGGTAAAACATCCATATAAAATGACCTTTATACTGATAACTGCACACACACTGTACTGCTTTAACTAGAGTAGTACAATTGGCACTGACTGGTAGCTTCTGCCACTGCTTCTAACATATGAAGTTTGATATTTTGACATTCTAGGTTATAAGTTCTCTCCTCACTCTCCATTTTCAAATTTCTATCAGGTTATAAACATGTACTGGATTTAATTTAAGACTTTTGGGGACCTCAGCAATTTAACTTCCATAGAAAAACCAATAAATTCATCATCCTTCTTTGTTTACTTACTCACTAAGTTGTGGAAAATTTTTATATACCAGAAACATGATAGAAGCAGCAGAGAGGAAGATAGACACTAATATAAGGAGGGACATTCGTGCTGATCCACCTTCCACATGGGCTTTTCCTGAAATTAAACAAAATTGGAATTAACATAAATTAATGATAGCATTCAAAGTTATGATCCTAAGAGTTAAAGGTCAGTATTCTGGAGAGAAGAAATCTTCCTCACCAGCAGTTTAAAACAAACAAACAAAAAACCCCGCAAGACATCTCTTACGTTCCCCAGAAGCTCTATGCTAAAAAGTCTGCAGTCCTTACTTGGGCAGGACTTCCACAAGTCTTTCTGACTAAGGACTACAGGAGCTCAATTAGTCCGCCAATAAGCATATGCGTTGATTTACACCCTTTTAAGCACAAGAATTCTCATATAATAAAGGGCTTAGTCCATCTATCTGTTTGTCCGTAACACTCTTGGAGCACTCCGATTGGTTAGTGAAACAACCAATCGTATTACAGAGCACCACCCTGATGGAGTGGGGATGGAGTAGGGGGGGCCAGGCCAGCCCTGCTGGCCACACCCCACACCCTGGCCCTGCTCCTCTGAGGTGGTAGAACGCCGCCATGATGGTGGGGACGGGGGTGGGCCAGCAGCGCTGGAGGCAACAGCAGCACAGGGTGCTAGTGGAGGGGACGACAGGGCAAGCTTCCCCCTGCCCTACTCCTGGGAGGCAATGGCAGCATGGGGTGGTGGTTGGTGGCACTCCATCCCTGCTCACCCCCCCTCCCCCCTTTGATGGGCAGTTCATTATTGTAACATAAAAACATGCACTGCTCTAGACTTATTTCCCAAAAATATCATGTCATGGGTTAAGCAATACTAATTACTGGACTATCACACACAGACAAATCCTCATGTCACCACATTCTCTAACCCTACTCAGAAAAAGCCCTGACCAGTGCCACATCCACTCTAAGAAGAGGTATTTTTAATAAGTTAACTGGTTAAGGTAAACTCTAGGAGACTCTGTACACTTATTCATATTGCCAATTACATGATCTACACTAGGAATTCATTAGAGGTGTACCGATATATTGGTGGCATATCGGATCGGCACTGATAGCAGGAAAACTAACATTATTGGCAATTGGCTTTTTTGGCCAGTGTAGCCGATGTCATTGATAAATGCCATGTGTGCACAAGCAGCTGCAGCATGCACATAGCCAGGAATGCAGCCAGCATCTTGGAGAGCAGTGTCCAGCCAGTAAGTCTGTGAGGGAGGAAGGGGCATGGCAGGGGCAGATTGAGGTCCCCATGGTGAGGAAGGGAGAGGGGTAGGACAGGCGCTGCCGAGCCAGGGCAATGAATCCAACCCCACCAGGAGCAGGATGCCATGGGCGGTTCATCCAGGGGTTGGCTTCCCGCCATGGCACGCACCCCCAGAAGAGGCATGGGGGGCATTTGTGCACAGGGTGAGGGTGGGCTGCCCGCTGTAGGCTTGGGACCGAGGGCTGCACTGGCCTGTTCCCAGTGCGGGGGCTGGGCCAGGGCTATGCTCAGGGAAGGCAGAGGCACGGCAGGAAACAGTGGCAGCACTGGGAGGGGTGACTACATCAAATTCTGAGGTGGCTGTAGCCCACCCCATAGCTACCCCTCCCTGCACCACTGCTGTCCACCCCAAGTGCAGCCCCAGCCCAGACCCCCCACCAGGAAGAGGCTGGCATAGCCCCTGCCCCTGAGCCCACAGCAGGCAGCCCATCCTCACCCTGCCCAGTTGCATTCCTGTAAATCGACTATCAGATTGGTTTCGGCCAATATGGCTGGCTAATAATTGGCCATCGGTATTGGCCAAGAAAGTCTTTATTGGTGCACCCCTAGAATTCTAATATAATAAAAGCCTTAGTCTGTCTGTCTGTAACACTCCGGTCATGCACCACTGAAAGTTGCATGCGCCAATTGGCTGTGAGGGCCTGGAGCATTATGGACAGAGGTAGCAAGGGAGCTGCCATGGTGCCCCCCTTCTCCCCACAAAAAACAGCTGTCAGGGAGGGGGAGGTGGCGAGGAAGAGGGAAGGAAGGAAGGAAGGAAGGGAGAGAGGGAAGCAGAAAGGGGAAGTTGGGGTTTCTGATGGTTGGCCCCCCCCTGCCACCGCCCGGCCCTGACAACAGTTGGCAGAGAGGGGGAGGCAGAGGGAGGAGAGGGGAAAGGGAAGCAGGGAGTAGGGGGCATGTTGCATGCTGCTGGGTGTCAGCACCCATGCTAGCTGCCCTCCCCCCCGTTCCTGGGA